CGGCGGGGAACGTTGGATTCACCTTTTTTCTTACTCAATTTCATTTACTGAAACTCCGAAAATTGTAATTAAAATTATCCTAGTATTCGGGAAATATTTATTTTTACATTTTAAATAGAAAAAAGCAACGGTTAATTTTATCACTTTGGTGAATCATGTTTGCGAGTTTCTCTTTGTTCTTATATAAAATTGATAAAAATATAAACAATAATTATATAAAAATATATTTTGATATTACCTAAACTCTCATCCTTTCGCATCAAAGCTTGAGAATCTGTAAGTTACCTTATGTTACATTTTAAGTTTTGCATCAAAATATCTTGAAAAATATAAAAGACACGGAAAAATGCTTTAGATAAAAGTTATACTGTTTGAAGAAAGATTTCTTTTATTATTTTGCATCTAAAAGTATTGTAAATCTATCCAAAATTCAATAGTTTACGAGATATTTTCTGCTTTATTATATCATATTTCGACATAAAATATTAAATATTTCATAAACTATTGAATTCTTGATAATTGCACCTTAATACTTTCATGCACAAAATAAGATAGAGATAAACCGATGGTGTAAAGAAAATACTAAGTTGATTTTTTAAAAATGTAGTTTTATATTGTATATTGCATATATTCTTTAGAAGCAACGGAGTGTTTTTTTATTATAACTGATTCATATATTGAACTCATTATTTTTAACTTAAAAATACCAATGTAAAGAACAATTATCAAGAAATCAATAGTTTATGAGATGTTTAATATTTTATGTCGAAATATGGCATAATAAAGTATAAAATATCTCGTAAACTATTGAATTTTCTCTAGTTTTACTAATACTTTTATATACAGAATAATTTAAAAAATTATATAGTTCGATATAAAAAATGGCAATACTATTTATATGATCTTGAAAAATTAATTTTTTCGAAAAAAATTTTACCATTATTTGTCCCCCTTCTAACTGTAATATAACTTTTATCTAAAACATTTTTCCGCATCTTTTATACTTTTTAAAATATTTCGAGATATGCAAAACTTAAATTGTATACATATAGATAACTTGCAGCTTCTTAAGATAAAAAAGAATGAGGACTTAGGAAATATCAAAACATGTACGTATATTTTTATAAAAACAAAGAGAAACTTGCAGACATGGTTCAACAAAGTGATAAAATCAATTGTTACTTTTTTCTGTTTAAAATGTGAAAAAAATGTTTCCAGCCGAATACCAGGATGATTTTGTGGAAGATGGTGGGGCTATCTCGTTTAATACACTTATGTTTGCGAGTAATCAAAAACGTATATTTAACAGAAAAAGGTTTACAGCGGGGCTTTGGATCGTGTTAGCGTTCTCCACGAGCGAACAAGAAGTGAAGGCGCAATCTTCCTCCACGTCCTGAATCCACTTATTCACCAAGATACGCCACTCTCCTCTTTTCCCGTGTTGCTTCTGATTGATCATCCTTCTAGAGATATATTCAGATCTAAAGGAAAGAACTAAAAGACAAAAATGTAAAAAAGAAAAAATAATCCCACAGATTTTAACTACGATTTTTGGATTCAGCAAGCGAAATTGAATAAGAAAAAAGATAAATCCAATATTTCGCGTGTGTTTCCCAAATCGCCTAAAATGCATGAACTCCTTTGTAGAAAAAATTTGATTCTCTCCGTATACATCAAAGTTGAAGTTTTATTCTACAATTTTTCAAGGTTTAATTTTAATTAATATCATTTGTAAATAAAGTAATTACAGAGGCATGGAGTTTAATTAAAATATATTCAAAAGTTGAGATTTTAAGTTTTAAAACACTATTTATACTATTACGCCCGCGATTCACTGATGTGCGCCCGTCTAAAGAACGGCGCCGATTGGATTAGTTTAACTCAAGAAATAATTGGATAATTAAGAATTGTAAAAAAAAAAGGATCAGGACTTTTTGACTCAATTTTTTTATCAGGAATAGCGCTATATAATTAGTGGTCGTTATTTAAGTTACACCCTGTATACAGGGTGTCCTAGAAAGGTCGTATGTCTTTTCACTGGCAGATTCTAGAGAGCATTCTAAGACGAAAACTCTTATACGAAAATGTCGACGCTATAATACTTTTTAAATTATAATCGATTAAAGTTATCCTATTACGGCGTCTGAAATTCGCGCGCTCAGGCATGGTACATTGCGCGCGCGATTGCGGGGTGTCCTTGTCCATTGACTCACATTTAAATATTGACATAATTGATGCGCTTATCGCAAAAATATCTAATTATCGAAATTGAGTTTCTTATTTGAAAACATTAATGATTTTATAAGTTAATAACGCTTTAAGTTTAAAAATCGAATTTTGACAGTTAGGTACTTTTGCTGTAGGCATCTCAATTTTTCATACAATGATAAAGNGATCGACTTTTAAGCTTTGTCTCGTTTATTATGATTATTGTAATATCAGTATAATATTACAAAATATCGAATGAATAAAGTAAGATAAGAGAAATAGTATTAATTTTAAAAACA